TAGCTCTTTGAATCGACAAATTTATTTGATTTTTCACAAAATTCATTTTATAGTTTATATTTTTATAGATAGTCTGAAAGTAACTATAGTCGCTTACACCTCCTGAAAAAAAAATAGTTTATAGCGCGCCATTATTGAGAGAGATAATATTAACGTGTAATAAAAGATTGTCTTTCATTTATCGTTAACTATGGCTTCTGTAAAAACAATTCAAATGTATTTTTTTACATTTGCGGACAATATACAATAGTTAAGGAAATATTGAATATAACAGACTTATGTGTTGAAGTGTTAAGACAGTGGACTTATAGTAAATCAAAATCATCGTTATTCGGTATTTCTGTCCAAATTAGAATGCAATTGGAACTCGGAGTGAAAAATGTCATCAATACGAGTTTGAAAGAAGAAAGTATTGCCTCCACCACTTTACATTAAACTTGGTTTGATCAAACAGTTTGTAAAGGCATTTTGACTTGACCAATAGTGATTATTTCATGTTTAGATATTGAGGTCATGATTTACGAGTATATAGGTTTTAAGCATATAAAAAAATCGTAAGGACACAAAAATTCGCAGACCTGTGTAATTTATTTACATATCCGTTACTGTTATAATTGTTAATGGAAAATATATATTCCCATACTCATTAGAAGAGTTAAAGGATAAGGAATCGGTAATGTATTACGAAAAGTATTATTCGCAGCCTTGTTTTGAAGATTACATTTTCATCCCTTAAACAAATCGTATTGATCTTTATTAGCCAATTATCGTTTTAAAATTCGAAAAAGTATGTACTTGCTCTTAGTGTGAAACTTACAATGCAAAGTGCTCTTCCCATACAGGATTTAGCGTTTCAGTCTTTACTGATGTGTTGTAACGATGAGAGGAATTTGATGTGAGATACAATGTGACGAAAGGATCGGTAAAACCGCTGGAGTCTTTGGGTGCGATATCTTTGGCTTCGATTATTTCTACGTTTAGTAAAATGTCTGGAGCTTCCTTCTGTTCGGCCTTGGCCAGCAGCTCCTCGTGTTTTTCGTTGGACATTTTGAACGCGTCTTGAATATATGAAAATAAGGCTGTCTGGCCGATATCGTAGCTTACGTCACAACCCACATTGTGAAGAATTTCGTACAAAATCTCTAAATAAAGATCGTCGATCTGCAAATAAGAAAAAATTTACTGTCTGTGCGTATATGTGCTCTGGAAATTTTGCAAGGTTTGTGTGTCTTGTTTACAAGAGATGTGATTTATTTGAAATACTTGCATTTGAAATGCAAATACAAAATAAACAAAATACCCTTTTCTATCTTACATTGAAATACTTTTTTGAAAAAATCATTTTGTATTTTATTCAAAATACTTTTCCAAATGTATTTTCTATTTGTAAAATGAATAAAATACATTTTTGCCCTTAAAAATTTTGCTAGCATCACCGATCAAACATTATATAAAATTTGCTCACATTGACTATTGAAGGTATTAGAAGCTTAAAAAGGAGACAAAGCGACATTCCATGAATGCCTTCTAATTCTTTACCTGAAGAGAGCCCAAAAAATTCCAAACTCTTTAGAAATGGATAATCTAAAATATTGGATCGATTTTGTTTTCCGGGTTTAATGTCATGGTCCATGGAATTTTGAAGTTCCAAATTAATATTAGCAATTGCCAAATCACTACTTATCGTACCATTAGCAAGAAACTACGAAATTCTATGAATTACGACATAACAACCCCCAAAGCAATATCTAATATACGCCAGCTGTGTAAAACTGAAAACTACAAGATATTGTGTTGTGCTAATAAATGCATCTAATCCAAAATTCTTAGAAAACGATTCGAGAAACTTCACT